AAAAGTGAGAGGCACAAAAGAATATTAACCATATTTCTTTAAAAATGTTGACATATTTAGAATTGATTCTGTTTTTCCGGTTTTGAAAACAATACAAGTATATCTTTTAGTTAACAAAACGAGGAAGCCAGTGGAGCTTCAAGAGCTTGCAACATGGATTGCGTGCATTTTGGTCGGCCCCATAAAGGTATCAGTTTTGTGGATTTTGGATGCTGTTGTACTTTGCTACCTGGCCAACGCGGCTACCCCAGGACAGGTTAACAAAGTGGATGTTTTCCTGGGCATGACTTCTGGAACAGAAAAATTGGAACCAGCAATAAGAAGAATAGGGAGAAGACTTGCATCAGTGTTTAAAACAAAGGCTGCAACTACACTGCAGAATTAATAATAATAATAATTTATTTATAGCCCGCCCAATCGCAAGGAATCCGAGCGGGTTACAGCAATATAAAATACATAGAATACAATAAAATTCAAAATTAAGTGTAGCATGTTTCCAGGTTTAGTTGCCAATATACAATTTTAGCCACCAACATACAATACCACTTTACATATGCTTTCCTATTTTCGTTGCTTGTTTCAGAATGGGATGCCCATTAATGCAGTTTGACACTGCGTTATCTTCCATGGCTCCATCCTATGGAAACCTGGGATTTATAGTATGCTGTGGCACCAGAGCTCTCTGACAGAGGGGGCTGAATCTCTCGCAGAACTACACGTCCCAGAATTCCATTGCATGGAGACATACATGGCAGTTAAAGCAGTGTCAGCCTGCATCGATGTTGCAGTGCAGTTGCAGCCACTTTGCCTCTGGGTGGCAAGGAAACTACAAATCCCAGAAGCCCTTGCGAGGGGTGGAGGGGGCGGGGCAAGAGGGGGGTTTCCTTCTCTCCAAGACATTTCCGGCTGGGTTTGCAAAAAGCCTTTGCAGCTCCAGGATTGTTCCGTGCTGCAAAGGGGCGCCGGATTTGCACCTGGAGCCGGAGGTGAGGGATTTGACAAGGGAAAAGGGGGAGAAAAACACGAAGGGACAATTGAATAAAGGACCAGCCTGTCCATTCATTGCTAGTGCAAAATGAGGCTTTTTCTCCCCCTCTGGAAGAAAAGAGAGGAATTATTTTGCAGTGTGCAGATTTCTTTTACTTTTTGGAGAAACTGTGTCCCAATTGTCTTCCTTTTTGGCTTGTCTCCCAGCTAATTTGTCATTTGGTGTGTCTTCCCCCCCCCCCCCTTCCTCCTTTAAAATAATTAAAACATTGATATCTCCCCCTGGATGCAAAGGTCTCAGGCTGGCATGCAAGGAAATCAGTTTAAACCCTTGGAAATGTTAAAAGGGTGAAATATAATGTATACTAGTTCAGTGTGGACTAGATAATACTCAAATCCAGAGTTAAAGCATACATAATACATGCACCAACTGGATGCAATAATTAGATATCTGGAGTGGGTCTCTCCAATTCCTCCCATAGTTTGAAAATGAGGAAAGCAGTTTTTGCAAAATGTGTGTGTGTGTGTGTGTGTGTGGTCCAAATGAAGCAGCCAAACTCTTGCAAGGGTTTCCTGTTGCAGCTGAGGTCTTGGAAAACTCAAGTTGCCATAGACAAGCAGCATCAGCGATGAAGTCAGTAAGGAAAGCGTACTGGCACCAAAAGCCTGTGTTTGCCTAACTTTCCCCCGATGCTGATAGAAAACTTCCAGCTAGACAGTGGATGAGGAGAGCAGGTGTAAAAATACTTTGTAAAAGGGAGATCTTTTTTTTGTCAGAGGCTTTAACTGATGTATACCTGGACTTCAGGAGTCATGAGGCCCTCCAGATGTTGGACTGCATCTCCCATCATTCCTTGCCACTAGCTAGCAGGGCTGATGGGAGTTGTATTCCAACTACATCTGGAGGGCTGTGTGATTCCCACCCTTTTGTAATAGGACCCAGGCTAGAGAGTGACTATGCTTAGCGGGTCTGCTTTCTCTCCTCTCCCCAAAGGGCAAACTTGAACCTGGATTTGAACGCGGAGCCCGGCGCTCTGATGGACACGTCGGAGCCCAGCAGCGCCACAGAGGAAGAGGAGGAGAAGGCGGCGGTGGAGGAGCAGCGGCCCCGGACGCGCTCCAACCCCGAGGGGGCCGAGGACCGGACCCTGAGCGCCCAGGGGAGCGTGGGCAGCCGGAGCGAAGGGGAGGGCGAGGCGGCCAGCACCGGCGACAGCCCCCAAAGCACCACCGCCATGGCCGCCAACGGGAAGGTCTGGCCGCCCCTCGCGCCACCGCTGGAGTTCCAGGTCAAAACGCCGCGGGTCAACTGCTCCGAGAAATTGGTGAGCCCTCTCTGAACTGGGAGGAATGGTCCGGAGTGCTGGTTTTGACCCACAAAGTCCTACGCGACTGGGGTCTGGGTTATCCAAAGGGTCACGTTCTCTGGTAGGAGCCTGCCTGTGGGTTTTGAGATCCGACTTCACAGGGTTTTCTTGACAAGAGTTGTCCAGCCTTCCTCTGAGGCTGAGAGAGGAAGTGGCTGAGAGGAGATTTGAACCCCGGTCTCTAGACTCGTAGTCCCCAAATGTCCTTGTTGAATTTCTCATCTTTTCCATCTTTAGATTATTTGCTTGGATCTCTCAGAAGAAATGTCCCACCCGAAACTGGAGTCGTTCAATGGGTGAGTCGGTTTCTCTTCCAGCAGGGGAAATATGGTGTCCCAAAGCTTTGGAGTTTTTTAATATATACATTTACCTTTTCTCTTTCTTCATTCCTTCCTGAAAGCTCCAAAACCAATGCTTTGAACATCTCCCAAAAAATGATTGAAATGTTCGTCCGGACCAAACACAAGATTGATAAAAGCCATGAATTTGCCCTGGTTGTGGTCAACAACGACGTCACTTGGGTACGTCCAGTGTGTGGCGATCTATCGACTGACTATTGATTTCCCTCCTTTGCTTTCCATCTTAAAACAATCTCAGTCGCTCACACCAGGCTTGATAGTTGCATAACTTAGAAAAGTTACTTTTTGGGAAGGATTCTGTTGTTTTGTGCCTTCAAGTCAACTCCAGGCTCAGCCAGACTTGATTGAAAAGTCCCAGATTTTTGTTCTAATTTTGTATTGGGTCAAAATATACCAACCTGCTGGTATAAAAAAGTCTCTAAATGTACCGGGAGCTGAGAACATACATTCCGGGATAAACAAAATGTGTATGGATCTTCCAGAATAAAATCAGAAAGAAAAGGAACAAAATCTGGAACTTTCTGATCTTTTTAATCAGTCTAGATTCAGTCTTTGATTGATAACTTTTCTTGGCAAGATTTATTCAGAGGAGTTTTGCCATTGCCCTACTGTAAGGCTGAGAGAGTGTGAGAAGATCCCTCACTGGGTTTCCCTGGCTAAATTCGAACCGGAGTCCTAGTCTGATGCTCAAACCACTACTAAACACTTGAACCCCAAATCTATCTGGATGGGTGACGTAGTCCAAAAACCCCCAAGAAAATCAATAAATGTTTTATTTGGGCTTCAGCTTTTGGGGAGTTTTCCAACTCATTTCTTCAGAGGTGCCAAAAAAGTAACTTAAGCATTGTTTAGCCAAGAGGAATGAGCCAGGAATGCAAACAGATAACTGAGTCCTCTCTCTTTTCTTCTCCCTCTCTCAGCTTTCGGGATTCACCTCGGACCCCAGAGAAGTTTGCAGCTGTTTGTATGACTTGGAAACGGTGGTCTGCAAGTCGTTCAGTATCCTTTATTTTCTCCTGGGACGAAATGGGGAAAGAGTGGGATTTTAATCTGGCCTCGGAGCTCGGTATTAAAGGAAAAGTGGGGAAATGCTTGAATTGTGTGGCGGTGGATCTTAACTCTTCTCTTGCAGATCTGGAAGGGCTTTTCAACCTCATGTAAGCAAGTCTGCTTTTTCTCTCTTTATGAAGCATTTGTTTTGGGAACATGTTAGAAAGAAAAGTTCGGCCTCCTAATTATATCCAGTTGGGAGGGATAATAGGGCATTTAAAAATGAGGGGGGATGAACCTCATATTTAACTCCCTTAGATTTCCCTTCTTTGGAGGCTTTTAAACAGAGGTTGGATGGCCATCTGTAAATTCCTGCAGTGGCCAAAGAGGGTTGAGTAGATGACCATTGGGAGACCCAGCCAGATCTATGGGTTTCTGAAGCTACATTGCAGCATTAATCAGCTTAGCCAAAAACAGTCTACCCCAAAGGGTCTCTCTCATCCTTTTATCATTGAAACAAAGCTTGGAAAAGTCACATTTGTCCAGGGATAGCTCTCAGAATTCCCCCAGCCACTTATGGTCAGAAAAAAGGTAACTTTTTCCAGGGTCTGAACACAAAATGCCAGATGTTTGCATTTAGGTTTGCATTTTCATACAAAGCAAGGACTCAGTAAGTCAGATGAGGAATCATTTAATCTTCCAGGTGGTCATTGGACTACTGCACCCAGCAGCCCCTAACCAGTAAAGAATGCTGGGCTCTGTAGTTCAACATCTGGAAGGCTGCATGGTTGCCATCTGTGAGTTGTGTGTGTATATCTGTGCCTTCAAATTGTGAATTTCACAGGGTTTTCTTAGGCAAGGGATACTCAGAGGTGGTTTTGCCAATTCCTTCCTCTGAAACAGAGCCCACAGCACCTGGTATTCTCTGGTGGCCTCCCATCCAAGTACTAACCAAGACTGACCCTGTTTAGTTTCAATGATTAGACCTGATCTGGTGCCTTCCGGTATTTACACTTATGTAAATATCTCTGCCTCCCCAATACAGACAGCAGAAGACAGAGCTGCCCGTTACGGACAATGTCCAAACTATTCCACCCCCTTATGTGGTCAGGACCATCTTGGTCTACAGCCGCCCCGCGTGCCAGCCGCCTGTGACTGTGACGGATCAGATGAAGGTGCGTGCCTCCTTTAATGATGCCCTTGCTCCCTCATCTGCCTAAAAGGACCTCAAGCCCAGCTTTAATGTATTATATCCTGCATGTGCCTGTGTATTAATATTAAAAGGGTGTCTTTGAGAGCCAGCATGGTATAGTGGTTTGAATGTTGGACTAGGACTCTGGAAACCAGGGTTCGAATCCCTGCTCAACCATGGAACCCCACTAGATGATCTTGGGGAAGTCCTATTCTCTCAGCCTCAGAGGAAAGCAAAGGAAACTGTGCCAGGAAAATCCCACGATAGGATCATCATAAGTTGAAAACAATTCATGGGATTTCTTTCCTCATTGTCACACCCACAAAAGCATAATGGCAAAGTGTAGTTTGAACATATTGTAAAATAATACCTTTTCCAAATACCCTGCAGAGGAAGAGGGCGGATGGGTGCATAGCCTGTGTGTTTCCTCATGGGCGAGTAACTTTTCTCGGCTTCTTTTAAGCCAGCATTGACTGTTCCTTCCTCCCTTGGCATAGAAAATGCTCCAGTGCCCCTACTACTTCTTCGACGTGCTCTACCTCCACAATGGCATCGAAGAGAAAGAGGAAGAGACCAGCTGGAAGGTAAAACCCCACAGAGCCATGCGGAGGAAGCCTGGCATTTTTTTGGTGCCTCCTCCTTTTCTTTGGAGAAGATGGGCTGGGCTGGCAGACTTCATTCTCTTTCTTTTCTTCTGCAGTGTATAACCTCAGGGCATCCATCTTCCATCTGGGGTATACCCAAGCCTAGGAACTTTGGCCAGCCATTGGCAATTGGATTGCCAGCTAGGAATAGTCATGGAATCATACATTTGGGAGGGACCCAAAGGGCCCTTGCTTTGTGTTTCAGTCTCCAAAGCAGCAGAAAACGAGCTGGCTCTTTTTTCTATCTGTAGTCTGGGTAGACTTAGTTGTAGAGGGGCCCTTGGCTGTTACGCGGAAGCTGAACCCCATCCGTGAAAGAGCTGGGAAGCTTCTCTGCCGTATCATTGATCCCCAATGAAGCTTATGTTATTGTCATGTGTACTGTCTGGCACCGAAAGAATTCTTGGGGAGGCCACGCAGGTGCATCCCAGAACATGGCTTTATGCTTGTGTGTGTGAATATAATATACATACATAGACACACCTTTCCCATTGAGTCTTGGCCTCTGATTCTGCGTCGTCTTTCTTCTCTCTAGGAGACCTTTGCCTTCTTCAGCAACCTGGATACCAAAGGCACCAATTACAAGTACGAAGTGTCCCTCACTGGCCCAGCTGTGGAGCTCCACAACTGCATGGCGAAACTCCTGGCTCACCCTCTGCAGAGGCCCTTCCAGACTCACGCGTCCTACAGCATGTTGGAAGAAGAGGAGGCACCGGAAATCGAAGCCGTGGTGTGAGCAAGCAGGAGCCGAGGAAGGAGTTTCTCCGATCAGGGTCCTCTCCTTGCAAGAAGGGGGCTTTCATCATATCTGTAGCAGGGCCACTGTGTGTCTGTTTGTCTGTATGTGTTATTGGGGACCTGTGGGTGGGTGTATATATACAGTCTTTTCCCATCCGTACAACTTTTGTAGGTCCTTTCACATTATACAAGTATAGCACTTTGATTACACTTTAAAATTGCTGTGGTGCTCTGGAGTTTGTAGTCTGCTGAAGCTAACTAAAGTTCTCTGACTGGGGATTCTGAGTACCCAGTCTGCAAATCCCAGGATGGAACCATGGCAATTAAAAGTGGAATCATAGTGCTAGCATTGTGTAATGTGAAAAATCCCCAAGTCATGCCACAAAGGAAGGCATAGAATATTCTCCGCATCCTGGTGTCCTTCTGGATGTGTCAGGGTGAGACTCCCATCACCTCAGCCTTCTGGGACAATGGGCTTTGTAGTCCCAGTGATGGTTGCCAGCTGTCATGGCTGACAGACTCCAGGGTTTGTTTGTTTTTTTGGGGGGGGTGTTATTGTTTCAAAAGAGGACTGATGAAGGATGCATGACAATGAATTACCACTTTTGAGGTGAATGATTTTCCTCCATCCTTTTGAGATCAATAGGGGTATAAAACTATGGGGAGGGGGGACAAAAGGAAGGCATTACCCTCCAAGTAAGACTTCGGTCCTCTTCATTCCCCAGATTGATTTAAGCTGTCAATCAAGCCTTTTGAAATTTGTCATCCAAAGCCCAGCGAGGCAGGGATGTCTGTGGACACAGAAGAGGTCCGAGTGGGAATGATCTCCAGCATCTCTCTCACTCTCCGCATTGCTAGAGATTTGGGCCCTGAAGGGAAATGGCATCAAAGGAATATTTAAGGAAAGGAGTCCTCAATTTATTCCTCCTTCCTGGTAGCTACGTCCTTGGAGACAAACATGGGCTTGCATTCCCTCAACATTTCTTTATAGCCGAGGTGAGCAAACTGTGGCCTTTCAAGGGCCCTTGACCCCTTCAGACTCCCCGAATGGTGGCCTTTTTCTGGCCAATAATAATAATAACAATAACAATAATAATGAATAATGAATTGCCTTTCCTGGGAACCTCAAGAAGAGACAACAAAAGCTGCATTTTTTAACATTAAAAATCTGTTTCTTCAAAGATCTTTTGTGAATGTTTCTTTGGGCCTATGCTCTGCCAGAAGAAGGCCTCAAGGGGAGAAGAAACGCCTCTCGTGGTTGGCATGGCTAACATAGGAATAGCCTGAGGCCAGGGCTGCATCCACATTGCAGAAATAATCCAGTTTAGGAGCGCTTTAAGTGCCCTGGTCCAAGGCTAAGGAATTGTGGGAACTGTAGTTTCGTGAGACGTTTAACCCTCCCTGTCGGAGAGCTCTGGTGCCACAATAAACTACCATTCCCAGGATTCCCCAGCACTGAGCCAGGGCGGTTAAGGCGCTCTGAAACTGGATTATTTCTGCAGTGGGTTTTGTGGCTGAAGCAGCGCTTTGAAGGCCTGTCAATCAACTGCCCTTTCGAGCCAATAGAAACCGTGGGCGGAGCCAAGGGCGATAACCTTTTCTTCCCCCCCTTACTCACTGGCTGACCAGGCATTCAATCAAGCGTAGGACGCCGCTCTCAGCCAATAGGACGCCGCGACGAGGCCGAGGAGGGAAAGTTCGAACGCTAGACACAAGATGGCGGCGGCGGCGCTGAGGCGGCCGTGAGGGGCCTCGGAGGTCTCGGCTGCGCGCTGTTGCTCTCCTGAGCCCCGCGGCGGAAGAGGCTCCCGGCGGCCTCAAGACGAGGCCTGGCCGGGCCGAGCTCCTCCCTCTCCGCCGGCGGCGATACCGACGGGCGATGAAGGAGGCCGCTGGGTATCGTGGGAGGCGTGCGCATGCGCGGCCGGTCTGAGCATGCGCAGAGGCGCCGTGGCGGCTTCTTGCCTGCCCTCTAGCGGCAGGATGCGGCCAAGCAACCTCCAGTTGGCTGCCTGGCTTTGCGAGGCTCTGCGCGGCGAGGAAGACACGTGAGTGGGCGCACGTCGGAATGCGGCTGAACCCGTGCACCGAGTCTCCCCGCGGGGGTTCGGTGCCTTGTGCGTTCCTCTCTCCTCCTCTTCCCTTTGTATAAAATTCACGAAAGAGCTTTTATCCTGTGTTCTAGCTAGCTGATATTAATTGCCTCCTAGATTTTTACTGTGAAGATTTTAAATGGATTTTGTTTGGGAGCCGCCCTGGGTCCCTTTCTGGGAGAAAGGCGGCATAGAAATGAAGAAATTAATGTTGCACCCCCAGATGCACACTCGAGTGTCCTTTGCAAAGTTACACACATCTGTGCAAGAGGGGCTTCTGTGTTTATGGGAGACCATCCCCACCCAACTGGCCGCCCTCCTGACATTAATAATAATAAATTTATTTATAGCCCACCCCTCTGCTAGAATAATAATAAATGTATTTATAGCCCGCCCCTCTACTACAGGTCCCATCACCTTCCTGGGGCATCTGGAGTGGCCCCATGATCTTGCCCTTGGTGGGAGTTTTAGTCTAACACACCTTGATGGCGGGCACCAATTTGGGGAAGACATTCTTAAGGCATCACACCACTAATCTCGCCTTTTAAATTGTCTTTTAAATTGGATTTTAATAATAAAAAAAATTAAATCAGATTCTAAAGCAAGGATAGGCAACCTTTTTGAGCCAGGGGCCGGGTTGCTGTCCCTCAGACAATTGGGGGGCCGAAGCACCAAAAATAAAATTAAAAAAAAAATGAAAAAAAAATGAAAAATATTCATGCACACTCTCTCAGCCCCAGAAAAGCCATGGCAAAACCCCTGTGGAGATTTTGCCAAGAAAACCCCAAGAACAAGTAATAACAACAATAATCAATATCATTATGGCGAGCGGCGGCAGCGGCAGGACTGGCCTGGGACCGGTCCAAAGGCCTCGGGGGGCCGCATCCGGGCCTTAGGTTGCCTACCCCTGTTCTAAAGTTTTCATCAATTAGTTTTTTCAGAAAAGAACTAAATCAAAAATATTCTTATGGATACTTGCTCTGCAACTGATTCAAGTCATGTCTGAAATCAATGTGAGTTTGATTCAAACTAATTCTTTCTTTCTTTCCTTCGCTGTCTGTCTGTGGGTCGCTTTCCAGGATGGTGGAAGCCCTCCTCCAGCGCGGCGCTGACCCCAACCTGGTCCTTCCGGAGGGGATGGCCCCCATCCATCTGGCGGCCGGCATGGAGCAGGAGAGCGGGATTCGTTGCCTCAGCCTCATCCTCCAATACGGCGGAGACCCCAACGCCAGGTACCTGCCAAGGGACGCGCTTTTCGAACCCATTGATTCCTGCAGTGTCTCTCCTGCTTACAAAGCCATGCGTTATTAGGGGATACAGGGCACACAATACATCATGCAAGCTTTCAGAGCTTCACTGGCTTCTTCATCAGACAAAAAATGTTCAAAATCATACAGGAGAAGAGACAGTGGCTGCTGCTACACTGCAGAATTAAAGCAGTTTGACACCACTTCAATTGTCATGGCTCCATGCTCTGGAATCCTGGGATTTGTAGTTTGGTGGGGCACCAGAGCTCTCTGACAAAGGCGGCTATATATCTTACAAAACTAAAATTCCCAGAAATCCATAGCATTGAGGCGTGGCAGTTAGAGCGGTGTCAAATTACATTAATTCTACAGTGCAGATGCAGTGAACGTTAGGAGTCACAGACCCACATTTGGTCTCCAATGTTTTGTCAGTTAAGAAGTAACTGGAAGGATCT